GCAGCGTGGGTTCTCTCCGGGTTCTCCGGCTTCCTCCCACAGTCCAGAAACATGCTGAGGTTAATTGGTGATTCTAAATTGTCCGTAGGTGTGAATGTGAGTGTGCTTGGTTGTCTGTCTCTAAGTGCAGCCCTGTGATAGACTGGTTACCTGTCCAGGTGAACCTGCCTTCACCCTATGAAAGTAATTTGTCTAAATCTGTGCTTCTCTTCTGTCTTTGTCAGCTCGTGGTTGGTTTTGGAAAACTTTCAGAGAAAAGCATGCCACTGACAGATTTATGATCCTCTTTGATCCTGATCCAGAACTGTCCTGCTGTCAGACGTGCTGCTATTGGTTAACTGGTGATCCAGATTTGTTTCAGAGTTTGTCGATTACAGTATCCTAACGAGAGGATCTGGGCCCGTCAGTGGAGCTGCTCCTCCTCCTCCTCCACCGATACAACCAGCTGGTCACAGGTCAGTCCGTGACAGATTAGCGCTGTGGGCCAACAGGCGCTGTGGGTGCGGCTCATTTAAATTGCTCTCCACATATTTACAGAGCCGCGGCCTGGAAGTATGTGTGGAACGCAAACTGTTCAAATACTACTGAGCCTTTTATGAGTCAGACAATAGTTTTTTTTTCTTTCTTTTTTGAATCTTGATAGGTGACAGACACACCCTGCTGCTGACAGCAGCTAGTGCAGAAAAAAATAAATAAACTAGAAACATGTTGGGCTGGTATGAACTTCTTCTTTTGTTCTTTTCTTCTGCTCTACACTGAAACTTATTATTCATCGGGTTACGGCAGAGTTTAATCAGAGGACGTACCAGCTCACCCTTATCTGGGTGACTTGCATAAGGTGGAGTTCACAACACGTGGGCTGTGCTCGGCCGGACACAATAACACCTGAAGGTGGTGGAAACCGCTGCGCCTTCGTCACAACACATATTAAATAAGCAACTTTAATTGGACTCGGCAATTAGCGGGTGTCACTGTGTTCGACCTCTCCACGCCTCGGCCTGACCTGCTGCTTGTGTTCGTCCTCATTTCTGACCTTTAACCTGCACTCTGCACAGGAGGAAACACACAGAATGGTCTGATGTTCAGCTTTCTGTGAGCGAATCGTGCAGTTTAATTGCAAAAAACGAACCAAATCTAAGTTTAAAATCGTGATGCTACATGAAAAATAAATCCTGTTTGCACCTGAGAAGCCGCGATCGACTCGACGGTCACGTGACGCTAATCCACATTCGGCTGAACTGCAGGCTGTGTTTTAATTTGGCACAGAAGAGATGACGGGAGGGAAACCAAACATGTCGGATGAATAGAATAAATGCAGCAAGAAATAGTGCAAAGAACTTTGCAGCAGGTTGTTGGAGAGCAGAGGGTGTTTTTCTAGTAACACTTGTTTGAAAAAATGTTTTGTTTTTATCAAAGAAAATCAGCTGATGTGCTTTTCTTTCCTCTTTATTTTGCAGTGAGGTGAGGAATGAGGCCACAGGGAGGAAAAATGCAACAGAACAAACTGCTCGAGGGTTCAGAGGATTAATTAATGAACCTGCAAACACTTGTTGTATTTGGGCTCCTCTGCAGCAGCAGCAGCAGCAGAAACCACCAACGGTAATTATAGCAAATCTGTCTGCAAACACTTTCTTATTTGCACACATGCAAAACATGCTCTGGCATACATCTGGAGTCTGGTCCGTCCAGTGTTCCCTCCCTGTTGGCTGTTCTCTCCTGGACCGTGTCAGCTCCATCCTTTTAAATCTAAACCTGACACTATGAGGCCCCTGCAGGTGGAAAACAACCTGAGACTGTCTTTGCAGAGCTGCATGTCCAAGTCATCAGTAGGTTTATACGTCGTAGAAGCGGAGTGCGGCTAAAGGCCACGACCCCTCCTGTGGCCTTTCCCGTCCTGCCACTCCGCCCTCCTCCCCAGCGCCATCTCACTGCCTTCTACCTTTTTGTTCCTCCTCTCTAATCCCTCCCTCTCCCCTGCAGGTATGTGGGCGTTGGTCCGAGGAGTAACTGCTCTGGGTGTGCGTCGGACACACCCACCGCAAGCATGAGACCGAGCAGCAGCAGCAGCACCATGAACCGATTCCTCCCCGCCGAGGCGTAAAGAGGCCGCATTGTTCGGCTCCGCGGGCCGAGGCGCTCCGGCTGCACCGTGCGCATACTTGAGCTCGGTTCTAACACAAACATGCGTCGGATGCTGTGCGTGCTCTGCAGTCTTGGCAGCAGGCGACGTTTGCATTCCTGGCGTTAGACCTTGACTCTCGTAGGGTAATTTCGCAGGGTGTGTTTCTGATAACCGCTCAGGTGTTGAGTTGCTTCATGGCTCTGACAGGTGAACTAGTCGTTGAAGGTCTTAAAGACAGCTAATGTGACACATCACAATGTTCTTGAACCTTTTCCTAATGTGCTGTCATGAAGCCGCTGGTAAAGGCTTTCATCCTTCCAGTGTGCTGCAATATGGGAACCTCCACATCCCATCACAGCTGACTCACTGAGATCAGGTTACATATATTTAAGATACTCTGCCCTTGTCCGGTTTCATTAATATTTCGCTGAGCGAGGTATAAAAATCTAATCCATCATGTGTCAGTGAACAATAAGAGCAGGTGATCCTGATATCCTGCCACAGAGCGACTCGTTATTCGACATTCCTCCGTGATTGTCTCTTTGTGGAGACAGCGAGTGCTTTACAATGTCCCGGCACATCTTGTGTTACACGGAGCTGATAGCAGAGACCATCGCTGTGTTTAAGGTGATACTTTACACAGGAATGTCTGCAGTATGGCTCAGATGTCAAACGACTATATTAAAAATACAAAAGCAAACATCTGTGAACCACAAGTTAGAAAACCTGTCATCATTGAAACTTAAATTGAATACACCGATGATTTGTGACTGATATCCTGCCATAGAGCGACGGCAAGGTGGTTAAGTGGTTAGCATCGTTGCCTCACAGCTCGTCTAGTCTCCATGTTCTCCCCGTGCAGCGTGGGTTCTCTCCGGGTTTATTATAAAGTATTTAATATAAAGACATAAAAACAAAACTAAAACAATAAACCACGTCATTATATTACGTGGGCATTGGCAGTGAGGGTCAAAGATGGTTGTGCGTTTAGAAGGAGGACGGCTCTGGGAGCAGAAGCTGACCTCCTTCTTTGAGTCCGGCGACCTGGAGCCACTCAAACGCAGGGACCAGCCGGTGTGATGGGTCCTGAAGGGTCTTGATGGCTCTGTTGCTCACAAAGGGTGGAGAGGCCTCACACAGGGAGCCTGATCATTGTGGAGCAGATCTTGATCTCAGTAGCTGGTTTACGCTTTGGATGGAGACGGAGTGAAACCAGCAAGTAGAAGAGAAGGTGATGAAGCTCTCTGTGAAGGAGTTCAGCTTCAGCAGGAGACACAGTCGTCGATGACATTTTTGTGTTGAGGTCAAACTTCAGCGATCAATGTCTAGAGTGTAGAGTGTGGGAAAAAGAAAAACAAAAACTTTCTTGCTCTTTCAGAACAAAACTGCAAGTTGAAAGAACTCAAGAAGAAGCCTGATGAACACTGGAAGCACATTCTTTGTTCAGATGAGAGTTAAATGTGTTTGGCTCAGATGACGTCCAGCATGTTTGGTGTGAACCTGGTCTGGACCACCACAGTGAAGCACGGAGGTGTGATGATCTGGAGCTGCATGAGTGCAAAAGGTGTTGGGATATTTATAGATGCATCATGCATTTACCAAAACACTGGATGACTCCCAGTCATCTTGTCCTCATGGTGTAGTTAAACATGAGCGGTGAATCAGACACAAGCGTCTTTACAATCAGCAGGTGATCTCTGTTTTACAAATTCTGTGACTTCTTGCACCGACTGGCTGCACCTTTGAAGAATTAGACAGTTTAAAGGAGGTGAATGCAATCACAGATTTTACATATGTTAAAATTCGGACATTACTTTTTAAAAGTCTGTTTTCATTTAGGGCTGCAGGTGTCTCGGTGGTTAGCATCGTCGCCTCGCAGCTAGAAGGTCGCCGGTTGGCGTCCCGGTGAGGACACCCGGGATCTTCCTGCGTGGAGTCTCCATGTTCTCCCCGTGCAGCGTGGGTTCTCTCCGGGTTCTCCAGCTTCCTCCCACAGTCCAGAAACATGTTGAGGTTAATTGGTGATTGTAAATTGTCCGTAGGTGTGAATGTGAGTGTGCTTGGTTGTCTGTCTCTAAGTGTAGCCCTGTGATAGACTGGTTACCTGTCCAGGTGAACCTGCCTTCACCCTGAGTCAGCTGGGATAGACTCCAGCCCCCCATGACCCTAGTGAGGATTAAGGTGTAGAGATGATGGATGGATGTTGGCATAAAAAGGTCATTTTTGTGGGTAAATTATTGTCAACAAAAAGAAGCCAATATTCAGAGTCATTAAAACGACTGCCTGACATGTCAGTGAGCTCCTTAATTAGCAGCAGTACATTTGCAGGAGCTTGGCAGAGGTGGAATATTCCAGCGTGGTAATGATCCGAAGCACGCTGCCAAAATCACACAAGAATAACAAAGTGATGCTCTGAGTTCCTGCTGCTGAGTTAAAACAACAAATCTAAACTCTTGGTTTTTAGTTTTACATAACGGCACACTGACTACTGTTAAAGTGCTCGCTGTGAGGAGTGTGTTAGCTTCTGTTGTCATCTGTGAGCTATAAAATAATGATAATAAAACACAGAATCAGGCATAAACCACATGTTAACTAGTTACAGACAGATAATGAGAATCTGAGTTAATCAGCTGCTTGCTGATCGTGGATTGAAAACACACACACACACACACACACACACACACACACACATCTGAATAAACCAAACAGATCAACGTGAAGCGACTTTAATGAGCGCTCGGAGCAGAAACAGGTCGGCCCGGTCTGCTGCTCCGCTGCTTTTACTGACGACACACCTGTCGGCCTGGGAGGAGCTGAGACAGGTGGACACTCCTTAAACCGAGGGGGAGACGCCACAGGAGAGGCGAGAAGGGAGCGAGAGGAAGAGGAGAGGAAGAGGAGAGAGGAGCTGGAAAGGAGAAACACGCTTGGACTCGGATTACACAAAGAGCTCTCCGGAGATGTCGCAGAAAAAGGAAAACGGCGGAGTGAAGATCAGCAAGTGAGTGGACTGTGTGTGTGTGTGTGTGTGTGTGTGTGTGTGTGTGTGTGTGTGTGTTGTCAGGTTTCCCAGGCTGGTGTTGCTCTCTCTGTTCTCCGGTTCCTGCTCGGTTTCTCTCCTCCTGACCTGACTGTTGTGTTTTGTTTTTATTGTGTTATTCGTGTTTGGTCAGTTTTTGTTCAGCCAGACAATAAGAATGCAGCAGCGAGGCGCCACAGAAGGGACGTAGTGTCAGGATCATTCATTCTGAAAGCAGAGGAAAAAATGAATGAATCCTCCTCTGAAATGTCACAATCTGTTTGCTCTGATAACACCACCAACGTCTCCTCACCTGACTGCTTCATCTGACCACAGAGCCCATCAGAGCTCCACTAAAGGTGATGGGTCAATGATCCAACACCATCAGGAGGGCAGCAGCTCGTTGTCACTGCTTATGTGGTGGAACCGGCGGTTGTCTGAGCAGAGACCCGTCGTGTTTTATGAAGCTGCACATGGCCGATAAATGTGTGGACTCAATTACGCAACTTCAACCCCTCCAGTCCCTTTAAAGGCGACTAATCAGCTGCAGCTTATCTCGTAGTGCTGCTTCACGCCGAGGTGTGCCTCGACGACGCCACGGGCTTCGGATTGTGACTGAGGAAGGAGGAGAGGCAGGGCAGGGTCTCCTCCTTCTTCCTCTGTGGGCCTTGATCAGCTCACCTGAATGGAGGCGGACGAGTGTTTAGTTTGCTCGAGTGCTTGTTGGACTTCTGCAGCAGAGATAAGACTCTGGAGAAGATCCTTTATTTAGTCAAGACTCCTGCAATAAAATGACACCACAGAAAGTCTGCCAGTGAAATCAGCAAAATGCAATTTAATATTAACAGTAAAAAGAGCAGAAAAATGCCCCCTATGACTGTTACATAACTCTATATAATTAGATTAGTGTTGCTCATTACTCATGTCAGTTCAGGTGGGGCTGCTTTGTGTAATTAATGCAATTAATTGTCTTCATGTTTTGATCCCCTGATTATGAAACTCATCAGATTGTTTGTTTAGTTTAAAATAAAGCAGCTTCTTTGTGCCTAAAAACAGCCCAAACCTCCAACTAATTACAATTAATTAAATTCTTAGCATAATTAAAAGGGAGAAAACTTTACAATAACACATCACTAATGACTAAACTTACTGTCACATTCCTCCGCTGTGAGGCCTCGGTGCAGGAACTAGTCCTCCTTCCTCCCTCAGCCTACTACAAGCTGTAAAGTGTGACTACACATGTCATAAATGGGCCATAAATTAATGGCAGCACTCGTTAGATGGGAGCTGACAGGTTCGGTGGGACTTTGAGCAGGAATGTCTGTGTCACACACCGACGGCATTCCTGAGCGGAGGCGACCGGTGGGACACTCCCCTCCACCGAGTCCCCCCGGTCCCGGTCCTGGGTGTGTCGGCACAAATAGTTGGCGCTGGTATCAGAGGACGGATCAGTGAGCAAACAGAGACGGTGGCAGCGGCGAGGAGGCGTCTTCAGCTGAAACATTAACTTCAAAATCAATATGTTGAACGTCTTTACAAACCCAGCAAGTGTTGTACCTGATTGTATTTCAGCATCACCTCGATTTTATAACATTTCACTGATAAATATTTGACTTTTCCTCCGTTGCATTCATTTGACGACAACAGATGCTGATTATTTCTGAACTACTGTCAAGATTAAACCTACAAAACATCTGATCAACCAAAATATGATGCGTTTATGGTCCGAAATGCTGCAATAATGTGACGCTTTTACAAGGAGCATCTGCCTTTAAATGCTCAAACTTTCTAAAGTTTTATCTGGTGTGACTGCTCTTCCTCATAGTTTTCTCTACTTTCTCCAACCTTGAAGTTCTCAGAAAGTGAAATCACTGATGTTAAACTGTGCAAACACGTCTTCCAATCTCACTGATCAGATTACGCGCCTGCTAACCCGAGGTATTAGCTTCCTCGTGTCATCAAGTCATGCAGAAAGAAACTTCTAAAGGACTCTGCAGTGAGCTACGGTGTGCCATCAGTCAGGAGGATTTTAACCATCGTCTATCTGTGTTTTTAAAATCCAGGTCTCAGGCCAATGACCTGGCTGTGGTGATCGCTCGCATGCAGAAGTATGCAGACCAAGTGGAGAAAAACATCCTGCAATCAGAGAAGTCGCTGGCTGTGGTAAGAAGTGCACCAATGAAGGCATCACAGCTTCAGCTGCTTAGAAACTCCCATCATGCTGCTGTTAATGGTAGAACTGCAGAGAACAAAAGCAGCAACGAGCATCGTGCTGCTTGCTTTTCCAAACCAAATCCACTAAACAGATCAGTCAGATTGCCAAACATCCAGAAGTGTTTTAATCTGACAATGTTTCTCCCGTGCAGGACGCAGAGCGAGGCAAAAAGGGCCAGCCGCTGATCCACCAGAAGGAGAATGCCGACAACCTGGCGGAGGCCGAGGGGCTGCTCAAGGACCTCTTCATGGACGTGGGTAAAGCCAAGAAGCTGCAGCACCCGCAGGCCAAGGAGATAGAGAAAGAGTGAGTCGACTCTCGAGTATCACACAGCAAATAAAAACCCTCACAAACATCGCAGCGTGCCAGCAGACACACCTGAATCTCGCATACCTTCCAGAAAACACAAACTGTCACTGCCACATTCCCCTTTCGCTGCTCTCCGCCCGCCTCCTCAGCTCCTATTCAAACGCTGCTGTGTCTGTTTTCAGTGTCAGTAACCTCCACGATCGCTGGGCCAGGAACTGCGCGACCTACAGGGACGTTTACGCCCAACTGCAGGACGTGGATCGGACACAAAAGATCGACTGGGGACCTCTGCTAGATGAAAAACTGGTTAGTCGATGCAACCGCAACGGTTTGACAAGCTTGAACTCATTCTGGGGTTGCTGAACATTGGTGTGAAATGTTCTGCAGAAACAGCTGAAGTCGGAGGCGTACGGTCCCAACCTGTCCGATGCAGAGAAGCAGATCGCAGCACACAACATTCTTCACCAGGCCATCGAGGCGTACAGCAGCCAGCTGCAGCCCAGCAGCGCCGGCTCACAGGTACCAGCACCCAGCAAACACACTGAGCAGAATGACACACAGGACCGACCCCTCACCTGTTTCCTCATCCTCTGTGTTCACAGGAGCAGTATGCCGCCCTCAAAAAGAAATATGCAGAGCTTCTGGTGAGTTGTTTATCACCTGTCTATCTGAGGCCTTCTGTTTGAGAGATGTGAGCTCTTAAATGTGGTGCGTTCTGCAGGAGAGCTCCCAGCAGAGGCGCAGCCACCTGGCCTCCCTCTACGAGTACATGCAGAGCTGCAGCAAGGAGCTGGTCTACCTGTCGGGCCAGCAGGAGAGGCTCCTCCAGAGGGACTGGAGCGACCGCATGGTCGACCCCGCCGGCGTCCGCATGGAGTACGAGGTGACGACGTTGGCGCCAGATGTAGCTGCTCGATTTTAATCTCCCAGTTTGTTGTAGATGATCCAAAAACATCTTCACAGCAAAATGCAAAAAAGACTTAATTTAAAGATTCTGCTTTTTAGACACAGACACTTTATTGTCATTCACAGCACGGAACAGAAAGAACTAAATAAGTTCCTTAATGTTTAGATTCATTTGCAGGAATTAAAATGTGCTCACTGAGTAACTGAAAGGTGAATGGCATGCATTGTATAAGCAAAAAAGCATGCATTTCCTTCTTAAGTGTCTCAAAGCAAGCAAAATTATTCAGGCTTTGCTGTACTTTTCCTGTCTTTGTAGGAAATGTGGAGTGCAAACATCCACGTTCAGTGCATAATCGATCCATCATCTACCTCCTCACTCAGTACTCAGGTCTTGGCCTCAGTAAAAACAATAGTAATAACCAATTAAACAATAAGATAATAACACCGATATAAAACTAATATAGACCGATGTATAAACAGTACAGAGCACACAGCAGCATGAGGTCCATGAGGGAATAGTGCAGCAGCTTCAAGTGCAGAATGCTCAAAGTTTTTATGCTCCAGTCTTAGAATCTCTTAATGCAGGTCGGAGCGAGGAAACAGCTCCTTTATGATACTAAACGGTGAAAATCCATTTCTATTGTGTTTTATGCTTGTTAGAAAGTTGGAAGTGCAAAAATAAAAACTGTTAACATATAAAGACGTTTAATTCTGCTGTTCCTGAAGCCTCCTGATGACTAGTTTGGCCTTTAAAAATTGGTCAGAAGTGCTGTAACACCTGAATGACTGACGGCATGTTCTTCCTGAGAGGAGCAGCTCATTTGGCTTTTTAGAGGAAAACAGCATGTTTGTGGTACTTTGAGCTGAAAAATGTGGGGTCACATGAGAAAAGGGGCACAATACAACACCTTTACCGCTTCTGTTCATGTTGTTTTTATGTAGGTTCATGTAATATGCTGGTATCTTTTATGATTATTATTATCAGAGGTTTGTCTACCGAGGACCAGCTGCACCAGACGGACTTTGTGATCGACATTTCTGGGAGAATCTGAGTTAAATCCTCGTGTTTTCTTGTGTTTTCATGCAGAAATTCAAAGCCAACGGACTGCTAGCACACGAGCGGGAAGTCATCCAGCTGCAGGATGAAGGAGATCATCTCGTGGACATGAAACACCCCGGCAGCCCCACGATAAAGGTGTCACATACGTATCTGCATTACAGCTGTAATCAAACAATATATTTGTCAGATTTATCAGCTCGACTGAACAGAATATAACCAAACACCATTTAACTGAACTGTTTTTCAGGCGCACAGGGACACGGTGCAGGCCGAGTGGCAGGCCTTCCTCAACCTGTGTCTGGCTCAGGAAGCCCACCTGGACAACGTTGATGAATACAAGAAGGTGAATACCATAAATACTCCTTCTGCTAACTCACACGTTGCCTCTGCGCTGTCATTAACCGTCATGCGGCTGTTCGATGCAGTTCCAGCTGGACGCGGAGCAGCTGTCCGACTCTCTGGAGCGACTCGGATCCACTCTGGAGCCCAAGTCTTTGGCCAGCAAGAGCAAACCTCAGGTCCTTCTGGCTCTGGAGGTACAACACTGCTTTGTCTTTCTTTTTTTTTTTTCTTTAAGGAATTAAATTAATGAAACTTCCATCTTTGTAGAGAATATTCAGTTCTGATTGTTCAGTCTGGTTACGGTCAGAGGTGGAAGAAGTGTTCAGATGGTTTACTCAAGTAAAAGTACCGCGACAGCAAAGTAAAAATACTCTGTTACAAGTAAAAGTCCTGCAAGTATCAGCAGCTAAATGTACTTAAAGTCCAGCTTTGGTCCCTTATTGTTATATCTGACATCATTTAGTTATTAGTCGTGAAGCATCAGCGAGTCGGCAGCGGGTTTGAACGACTTTACATCCAGTTTTAGAAACAGACGACGGATAAATCTGAAGGATCCAAACATAATTAAAGTTAAAACTAAGTTCTGATGCACAAATCTGTTTGTGAACTTTTTGTCTCAGCTTTGATTTTTGCTGCGATATATCAGATTATTTGAAGTTTTATTGAAATGAAAACACGTGAGAAGTTCAGAGAGAAATTCGTCAGACGTGTTAACAACAATACAGACGTCTGTAACACGAGTCTGCTTTTTGTAAGAAGCTTAAAAAGTTTGTTTAATCTTTAATGTTTTGCATTTTAGAAGCTTGTTATATATCTTCATCTTTAAACGAACGGAAAAAAAAGCATAAAATTACATCAAATCAAAATAAGTACAAGTACTTTAGTAAATACTTTGCATTTCTTCAGACATCTAAAGCTTTTTCTGATTAATCCCAGTTTTTCAAAATCGGGTTAAAAAAGTTGAAAATAAGACACACATATCAAATAACTCACAGCTAAGTGTTGCTTTTTCAGTAGTTATGAGACGGCATCAGACAACACGTCTCATCTGTGATTTAAAAAATCCTTACTGTCGACTCCGTGACATACGTTGTTCTGCAAACTGCACAGTTTTTATATTTTATGAGTCAAAAAGCAACTAACATGTAAGTTAAGAGCAACATCAAATATTTGCAAAGTTTAAACAGAGATGACAAAGAGAAACGGAGCAGGTCGGTGCGTTTTAGTCAGTATTCAGGTTCTTCACCTCCTGTGTTGACTCACAGTGTTTGGTTATTTATCATAGCTTGTCCTGAAAAAGCAGGTTTACTGACTTATACACAGCTTAACAAGTTTATTAGACCACCACCCAGTGTACGGTTTGTGCCACAGCTGGTCTAAATTAACAGAACTGGTAATGACCTAAATCATTTTTTATGGTTCTGTAACGGTTAATACACCAGAATGTAGAAGCTCTTTAACCAAAATGATGTTTTTAATGCTAAAATATAATTATTATTGTTATCCATGCATTTTTAAATTAACCGTTTTACAAAAAAACAGCAAAAAATGGTAAAGCACATTCATATTTCTTGATTAAGATGTCAAATTATAATAATTTACCTGCATTCCTGAACAGAAAAATGAGTTTTAGTGGTTGAATGTGATGCTTGATTCATTTCTGACGGCTCAGATTTGGGGATTAAAAGGTAAATTTGGTTCAAAATGGTAAAACTGAGAGCTGAGTGTGGATTAAAGCACTTCACGATGCTGGACAGTCTATATATATGTATGTGCAGTTCTTAACACGTTAGACAGGTGGTCTAGTACGTTTGTTAAGCTGTACATCAACACGTCTGCTGGTTCCAGGTTTAACTCTGCATGTTGCTCCAGGTAACGTCCTCCAGATGTCAGGCTGCACTCACAGAGTCTTAACCGGCTTTAAACGGGATCAGAAAGATCAGCTCTGCTTCTGCCTGCTTGTGTAATGGTAGAATAGTCGGGGAGGCAGCATTTGTTCTCCATCTTTGACAGTTTGTGTCGCCGTCAGGGAGACGAACCGGCCGTGAGCAGGAACGAGCAGCGTCTGGCGGCGCTCAGGGAGCTCAGCGGCAAAGTTGTGCCTCTGAGGTTACGGAGAACCAAACCCAGCAAACCCACCACCGTCGTGTCCCTGTGCGACTGGGCGGACGAAGAGGTAGGATGTCGTCGTTTACAGGCGCTCGTCTTGAGACATATTGTGTTTCAGAAGCTGGACAAACGTCTCTGCGTCTGTTGCAGGACTCGGTGAGGCGTGGTGACACGCTAACCCTCAAGTCCAACACCGACAATAAGAACTGGGAGCTTCAGAACAGCAGAGGGAAGATCAAAACCCTCCCTGGGGCGTGTTTCATGATCCCGCCGCCTGATGCCGAGGCCCTGGAGACAGTAAACAGGTGCTCAAACCTTTTCACCTCTGCTGTTTCTCTGATGATTCCCCTGCAGTGGGTTTAAATAACCCGGTCTCTGTTTGTTCAGGCTCGACAAGCAGCTGACGGACCTGAAGAGCCGCAGATCTGCTCTGATCACCTCCCTGAAGAACCCGAACGTGGAGGTGGTTCGCCCTCAGAAGGCAGGTGAGAAGAACAGCTGCTTTCTCTTATTTTCACAGATTTTTAAACCAGCCTCATGAGGAACGTTTGGGTGTATCTAAGCTGTTCATTGCAGACTCTCTTTCTCCTCCTCAGCCGCTGTGCAAAGTGCTCCAGAAGATCCCAGAGCTGCAGAGCTCAACAGTGACATAGACCGAATCAACAACGCCCTGGAGAAGAGCGAGAAAGAAATCCTGAACCGCCTGAGGGCCCCGCTGGATAACCGCAACCCCGCACAGGACCTGGCGAGCCGGCTGCAAGAGCACGAGGTGACAGCATCCCTAAAACCACCGAGGCTACAGCTTAATTAGACTCATTTCATCCTGAAACATTGTCTTTGCTCTCCAGAAATCTGCTCTGACTGTGAGGAAGCTGGAGTCGGAGAAGGCTGCCGTCCAGAGGGAGATGGATCCCATTCTGGCCAAGAAGCCTCTGGGCCCGATGGCCTCGGCTCTGCCCCCAAAACTCAGCGCTGCCGACAAGAAGATCCACGACCTCAACACGCTTATTGATCTCTACAACAAAAAGTAAGAAGGGTAGTGTGAATTATAGCGTTTGTTTTCTTTATATAAAAACAGAAAAGAATTTAAAGCTCACGTAACTTGTGACAGAAGAAAAAATAAGGAGGGCACCATTACTCAGATGTTAGCAAACTTTAGGCTAATATTGCTTTATAACATTTACCTGAACGACTGTTTCATGTATTAGCAGATGAGCATTCATCATGATCCTACACAGGGCCGTTTATCAGTATTTGCTTTTTATCTATTTCATAAAGATGCACCTCTATGGAAAAGCTTTTTTTCTAATCGTATACTTGTTGTTGTTGTTGTTGTTGTTATTTAACTCATCTCTTGTCAGATCTACGGCCTCCATGTTCCTGGAGAAGCAGATCCAGAACGTGGACGGCATCGTCTCCGGGTTGGAGGATCAGCTGACTAAAGACACCGCCATCCTTGATCAACCTACCGCTCTTCAGAACCGCAACAAGAAGCTGCAGGTGTCGTATTTTAGACATCAAACAATCCTGCAGAACATGAGAGGGCCTAAAGGTGTACAAGTATGATTTTCTTCTCTCCATCTTTTTATTAACAGGCGTTGAGTAAAGAAGCCGCCTCGAGGAAAGACGAGCTGAATAAATTAGGCAGAGAGTTGGATCTGACGGAGAAAGCGAGCAGCTCCCTGAGGCAGAATTTCAATGAATACTGTCCCGACATCCAGCGCCAGGGGACCCAGGTGAAAAACCTGAAGAACCGTTACGCTAACGTTAACAATCAGCTCCAGGACAGGTGAGAGGAACAAATCTGATCATGCATTATTACAATCACAGTACCTTTTTGTAACCTATATATGTATATTTATACGTGTACGTACTTTCTTCTAGATCTGCTCTGGTGCAAAAAGCCACCAATAAAAATCAAGATTTCCAGAATGCCGTTCAGTCGCTGGACTTCTACTTGGTCAATTTGCCCAATAACACCATCAAACCCACTGATGACGTCGCGCAGATAGCAGCCAAGCAGAAGTCTCAGAAGGTGAACAGAAGCGTCTCTTTGCAGACGTTAAGCTGAGTCCAACTTCTCGTCTACGTATTGGTGTAATAAAGTTGTTTGAACTGAGTCGTTTTCATTAAATCTCCTGTTCAGAGAGTGGTGGAGGACATCGCGAAGAAGTCGGACGATTTGGATCGAGTCATGGATCTCTCCCGTGATCTGCAGGGCGTTTTAAACGTGAGTTCAGAGAAAACGATTATCTATTTGCAACAGCGTTAAGTAAATTAATCCTTCAATGTTTAAACGTGTTTCCTCTCAGGAGTACGAGATCAAGTCAAACACGTACCGTCGCGCTCTGAACGACGACACCGACGATGACGAAGAAGACGAGGACGAGGTGCCGGTTCCGAAGAAACGCCAAACATCTACTCTGGCTCAGGGTGTCAGGAAAACGGTGCGGTTTAAAGCAACTGAGAAATCACACAGAGTTCATTTTCATCTACGGTTTTTTAACTGATGTGTTTCTACTGCAGGAGAAAGATCTTCTGAACCTCTTTTCCGTGGTGTCGGCAGAGAACAACCAGCTCCTCAGTCAGCTGGGGACGGCGAAGAACATGAAGGCTCGGGTACGATAACATGGACTTAAAACACCCTCGGCAGCGCTACTGTTATCGTTGATTCCTGCTAATTTCTACACAGGATCATAATCGTCAGTTACCTCTAACTTTCCTGACCCTCTGTTTGTCTTTGTGCTTTTATCTCCGTGCAGAACGAAGAGAAAGTCAGCGAGGTAGTCGTCAGTCAGCAGCTGCAGCTTCAGAGCCAGCAGAGGGACCTGGAGAAAACCGACAGCCTGAAAAGGGAATTGAACGAGGAGGTTGAGCGGCGCTTGCACGCTGAAAAAGAACTGGAAACGTACCGTAGGAGGTTTTTGTCTCTGAAGAACAGGAGAGGAGTGGAGAGGCTGGAGGAGAAGGAGGTGGTGCAGTATTACCGCGACCCCAAACTGGAGGTGGAGCTGAAGTCTCTGAGGAATCGGATCCAGGACGAAGAACTGAAGAGGTCGAAAACCCGTTCGGAGATAGAAATATTCAACGAGAAGATCATCAAACTGGAATTAGAGCTGATCAAAGTCGAGCCTAAACTCGTGACCAAGGTGTTCACCGAGTACGAGAGAGACCCCGGGCTCGACAAAGAGGCGGCCAGGATTAGAGAGGAGATGCAGAGGATACGCCTGGAGCTCCAAACGAGAGACACCGAGTCGGTGCAAGTGAAAACTGAGCTCACGGTTCTGTCTCAGCAAAAACCAAAAATCAAAGAGAAGGTGGTCAAAAAGGAAGTGGTGAGGCTCGAAAAAGATCCAGAGATGCTGAAAGCTGTCCTCACGTTCCAGAACGACATCGTAGAGGAAGAGTCGCGGTGCAAGTCCCTGAATGACGGCATTTTCACCATTAGGAGCGAGATAAACACAATGGAGAGAGTCATCCCCACCATCCAGCCCAAGGTCGTCACCAAGGTGGTGAAGCAAGTGCAGCAAGATCCAGAACTGCTGGACGAGTCGAAGAAGCTACGAACGGCCTTGGCAGAGGAGAAGGATGAGACTGCCATCTTGAAAAAAGACCTGACCACCCTTCAGCTACGTTACAATGAAGTGGATAAGCTCAGACAGAAAGTGGAAGTCAAGGAGATCATCAACGAGATCTACAGAGTCGACCCCGAGACAGAAGTCGAGCTGCTTCGTCTGAGGAAAGAGCTGCAGGATTCGAGCCGAGGCCGTACGGACCTGGAGAAAGAAATTACCACAGTGACGACATCCCTCACTACCCTGCGAGCTCAGAAGCCCAAAGTGGAGTACAAGGAGGTGACCCAAGAGGTGATCAAAGAAGAGAAGAGTCCTGAAGTTGTGAGGGAGCTCCAAAGGCTGAACAACCAAGTTTCCCGTCTGCAGCTCAACTATGACACCACCATCGAGCTGCTGACCCACCTCCGTAAAGAAAGAGATGAACTGAAGGCGGAAAAATCTAAAGTGGAGACAAAGCTGGTGAATAGAGAGATCATTAAATATGAGAATGATCCTCTGTTGGAGAAAGAGGCGGACAGACTTCGAAGGGATGTCAGAGAAGAGATTCAACAGCGCCGCACCGTGGAGGAATTCCTCTTTGACCTCCAGAACCAGTACATCGTCCTTGAAAGGCAGAAGCCAGAAGAGAAAATCGTCATGCAGGAGGTGGTTCGTCTTCAGAGGGACCCCAAGCAGATCGTGGAGCACGAGAAATTAAACAAGTCGTTGGATGATGAGATGAAAGCCCGTAGAAAACTTGAATTGGAGGTCAGACAGCTCAGAGGTGTGGTTAAAGAAAAAGAAGGCACCCTGGCTGAGATGGATGATCGTCAGAAGAAGATTCAAGTGGAGTCAGAGCTCAGACAGATCAGAGCTCGCATTCTTGAGCTGGAGACGTCTCCAACACCTGTTGAGGAGAAGATCATAATTGAGGAGGTGCTGAAAGTGGAGAAGGATCCTAAGCTGGAGAAACTCACTGATGGTATACGCGTCGACTTGGAGACTGAAGGCACCAACATTAGTCGTCTCGAGAGAGAAATTCGTAACCTGAGGCTGAAGTTGGAAATTCTGCAAAAGGAGAAGTCAGTTGAGAAGGTTGTGTACAGAGAGGTTGTTCGTGTCGAGAAGGATCCAGCAGTGGAAGCTGAAAGAGAACATCTCAGAGAGCTAGTATCACAGGAGAGGAATCTGAGACGGGACCAGGAAGATATCCTTCAGAGCATTAGCATCAAAATTAGCCATCTGCAGACATCAAAGTCTACGACGTCTCATGAGGAGACCACGCTCATCTCCAGCAGAGACGCTCTGCAAAGAGAAAAGGACGATCTCCTCAAACAGCTCAGAATGCTGGAGGCCCAAAGACAGACCATTAACGTAACCTTCCAGCAGCAGTCCAAGCTGATGAGCGAGAGGAACCAGATGGCTCGACAGAGAAGTCTTAAGTCGTCCTCTGAAGTGCAGCGACTGGAGAAGGAGATTCTGAATGAGAAGGACAAAATACACCAGAGAGAGACGCTCATCATGGAGCTGCAGAACAACCTTACCAAAGAGGACCATTCTGAAACCCACACCAGAGAGACAAACCTTTCCACAAAAATCTCCATCCTGGATCCAGACACTGGTAAAGACTTGTCTCCCTATGATGCCTACTTGCAGGGACTAATTGATAGAAACCAGTACATTAAACTGTCTGAGCTGGAGTGTGACTGGGAGGAAATCACTTCAACTGGTCCAGATGGGAACACAACGATTTTGCAGGATCGAAAAAGCGGGAAGCAGTACTCCATCAAGGATGCTCTGAAGTCCGGCCGCCTGACCGAGTACGACCTGACCCGCTACAGGGAAGGGAAAATGACCATTTCTGAGTTTGCCCTCCTCGTCGCTGGGGAAGAAAATAAGCCAGTTGTTCCTGTTCCAGTTGTTCCTCCAATGCCCCCAAGATCTCCTACCAAACCCGTCCCGTCCTCTCCCTTGAGCTCCATGCCGAAGCCCCTGAGGTCCTCCTACTCCAGCCTCAACTCTCACCACAGTGGCAGCTTGACTAACCTCAGTGCTTCAGCCGGGGACGAGCACTTCCCAATCTCAGGGATATTTGACAACACCACTGAGAGCCGCATGTCTGTGAGAAGCGCCCTCACCCGCAAACTCATCGACACCGACACAGCTCTGAAGCTCCTGGAGGCGCAAGCAGCCTCCGGCGGAATCGTTGATCTCACCAAAAAGGACAAGCTGTCCGTGCACAAGGCGGTCGAACACGGTCTCATCGACTCGAGCCACATGTATAAGCTTCTGAATGCCCAGAAGGCCTTCACAGGAGTGGAGGACCCCGTGACCAAAGAGCGTCTTGCAGTCGGGCAGGCGGCACAGAAGGGGTACATTCCCCAAGAACAAGCCCGGCGCTACATGGAGGCGCAGTACCTGACCGGCGGTTTGGTGGATCCCACCAAAGCAGGACGGCTCACCGTTAAAGAAGCCGTCGCCACCAAACTGATCGACAGCACGACAGCAGATGAGCTGCAAAATGAGGCCACTCACACCAAGGAGCTGGTGGATCCCATCACGAAGGAGAAGATGTCCTACAAACAGGCGATGGATCGGTGTAAGAGGGACATCAGCACAGGACTCCTGCTGCTTCCTGTGGTGTCCACTGATGCTTCCAACGCGCCATCGTACTCAAGCTACAAGTTCAACTCCCCCTACAACAAATACTAGAGCAGAGTTTGCTGCAGTGCTCGAGGATATATGGTGACACAAATGAATAAGTGTAGAAGAAATTTAAAAGAAAAAAATGATGTGTTCATAAACATAAATTTTGAAAACTTGAAATTTTAAGAAAAAAAAAAAGAAGGTTGAACTGTAGATGTGGATTTTTTTCTTTCTTTTTTTCAGAAATATTTTTGGTCTGCTGTAAAAATGAGGGTAATTTTTGTTATGAATGCTAATTGTTCTTCAGCATTCTGAGGAAAAATTCTTCATAAATGCTTATTAAACTCCACAAACTTCATATTCATTTTTCTGTCCTGTTATTTAGAACATTAATTGTAGAAGGTTTTGGGTTTTCATAGCACTTCTCACCAGGTTTTTGAATATTATGCATAATGCTGTAAAACTCTGAACTTAGTTGGAGAAAACATGTGAAGACCATTTTTTAAGCTGTTTTTCTCAGATTTAATTTAATTTTTTACATTTAATGGTACTCAACAACAACAAAAAGCAGTGATGGAGGTTTGAGTCATGGGAAGAGTTGGGGTTGGGGGCTTTAAAGTGGTCGGACGTCAGAGATCAGTTTCAGGTTGGGGCGCTTAAGTTCCAATACTTTCCCTAAGACGTGGGTTCGTTGTTCTTTCTACTGGATGTAGACCTGGATGTACAGGTCAAAAGACAAAATGTGTAATTCTTAAGGAAATACTTTCCGAAGGTGTTTTCTACCACATGCATTACACTATTTGCACTATATACTACATCCTGACACGTTTTCACGACATTCTGAGACGTGAC